ACACAAGGTAATGTGTTATAACACAAGGTAATGTGTTATAACACAAGCTAATGTGTTATAACACAAGCAATCAATTACTGTTATCTTAATATTAAGACTCTGCATTTAGCTTTAACATCTCATCAGCTGGTAATTGTAAGGCGTCACTTGCTGGTTGAAGCTCTGCTGTTGTTTTTGCAGCGGGCAATGTTTTCAGATATGAAGCTAAAATTTGACATGGTAGGAGCTGAGCATCATTCCCAGCACAAACTCTCAAGTACTTCCTAATCCCACAAAATCGCTCTTTAAAACTTTGTCAGTAACAATTGGAGTCAACTCTTCCATCTGTTGGCAAAATATCTCACAAAATACAGGATGTATTTTAATCAGACTTTTGAAGTAGTCATTTGAGGTATAACTAATTCAATTTTAAAGTCAGTTCAGTTCAAGAAGGCTTCCACAGCTGATAGACCTACACAACACAAAGGTGGCTGTAATTCAGTCATTGTTACCAACATTGAGCTAAATTTATATGTCGTAGAAGCTGAAAATCATCTTTTTCACATATTCTCGAACAGGGCTTTTCAACTTGCAGCTCAGGGGCCAAATAAGGCCCACGGGTGTGCTCAGTTCAGCCCACCTTGGGGTTCTTTTTAAAATAAATTTTGATTTTAAATCATAAACGAGCTTACTTAATGAGAATAACTGCTGGATGTCCAACTCCTGAGCTGCTGGCTTTCAGTAACTGTGGCCCCTCAAGCAGTTTAGTTGAATAGCCCTGCTCTAGAGTGCTAACAAATGAGAATACGTGAGACTGTTGCTTTCAAGTTTTTAACAAAAAGCACCTCTAATGATCTTAATTTAAACATATGTCCTAAAAGGTGACAGGCAGTATGGTTTTAATTTCACCATGTTTTGCTACAGTATCATCCCTCAGCTGGAGAAGATTCGCCTGCTGGATGTGGGAAGCTGTTTCAACCCTTTCTTAGGATTTGATGAATTCCTGACCATTGGGATTGACATTGTGCCTGCAGTCGAGGTACGAGCGCCTCTTTGCTTTGTTCAGTGTTGGTAAATCCATGCTCCTGTGATCAAACTGAACAAGGTTTTCCTGTCGGGGTGCTGAAAAAAATAGTGCTGTGCTTATAGTCTTTATGAACAAGTTCAGTAGAAGCCAGAAGAATATGCTTGCGTTTGGTAGCTTCAAGTCATGAAACTCTTAGTCTTTTTCTTTCAGCTTTTCCCTCTTCAGGAGTTACCACAACAAATCATCCTCCTCCATCTCACTCTGTCCTCTGCATCCTCTCTCCTCACGCCAACTACCTCCATGTCCTCTCTAACTGCATCCATACATCTCCTCTTTGGCCTTCATATTTGTCTTTTTCCTGGCAGCTGCATTTCTAACATCCTACCAATATACACACTGTCCCTCCTCTGGATATGTCCAAACCACTGTCCCTCATCCAAACCACTGTCTCTCCTCTGGACATGTCCAAACCATCTTAGTCTGGCCTCTAACTTTATCTCCCAGTTGTTAAACATGGGCTGTACCTCTGAGGATCTCAGTCCTAATCTTATCCATCCTTGTCTCTCCTAAGGAGAACCTCAACATCTTCAGTTCTGCTACTTCCAGTTCTTTCTCCTGTCTTTTTGTCCATGTCCCTGTCTCCAGACCATACAACATAGCTGGTCTCACCACTGTCTTGTAAACTTTTCCTTTGACCTTTGCCGACATCCTTTTTGTCACAAATCACTCCTGAAACTTTTCTCCATCCAAATAAACAAAACAAAGCAAAACAACAAAAAAATGTAGAAACGTTTCGTCTCTCATCCAAGAGACTTCCTCAGTCTGAGGTGCTGTTTTCAGCTCAGTCTCTTAAATAGCACCTTCTCAGAGTGGATCAACCAGTTTTGCTGCTGACAACCAAAACCAGCTGATCACATGCTCAAGAAGGACCATCAGCCTAACAATGGATCATTAGCACACTGATGGCTGTTTACTGTTCACAGAGGGCTGAGTGATACTAGCAATCACAGCATTGTAAGAGGGGGACAGTTGAACCCGGAGGCCTCCACCCCTGTTTAACGATGGACGATTTCTTTTCACAAAGATGGCCTCCTTTACTCCTCTCTCAAACCATCGTTCCTCTCTGTCCAGGATGTGAACATCTTCATCCCTGAAAGAGTGACCGCTGGCCTGGAGATGAGTGTAGACCGCAGAGTCCTGGCCTGATGATGTTGATCTTCTGTGCTGGTCCATCCTTTTGGCCAGTGGCTGTTTAGTTTCCCCGATGTAAGACTGATCACCCTCCTGACACTGAACAGCATACACAATATTACTCTGTTTGTGCCGGGGGACTGGATCTTTGGGATGAACCAGTCTTTAATGTATTTTGGGGTTTAAAAGCCACTGGGACATTGTGTTTAGAAAATAAACGTTTCAGTTTCTCTGATACTCCCTCAACATATGGAATGACCACTGGTCTGGGTCTGGGTTCCTCCTTTTCACCTGATGGCTGACTGGAGTCCTGTTTGGGTTTCTTCTCTGCTTTCAGGAAGGCCCAGTTAGGATATCCACATTGCTCTAGAGCCTGTCTTGTGTGGGATTTCTCCTTCTGCCTGGCTCCCGAGTTAGTGGAGATGCTGTCTGCTCTGTGGTACAGAGTCCTGATGACTCCTAACTTGTGCTCCAAAGGGTGATGGGAGTCGAACTGCAAATACTGGTCTGTGTGGGTGGGTTTGCGGTACACCTTGGTTTGCAAATGTCCTCTATCAGAGACTGAGACCTCACAGTCCAAGAAAGCCAACTTGCCATTTTTTTCATCTTCTCGTGTGAACTTGATCCACACAGACCAGTATTTGCAGTTTGACTCCCATCACCCTTTGGAGTACACCCCTAAGTAGCATTACAAAAAAGGTCTCGTCACACCTTGTCCTAACAGGACACGATTTAAGACATCAAAAAACTCTGCCAACAAGCACATTTATGAACATGTTACATATACATTTGATGACAAGGCGGTCTATGAAGCACTTCCAGATAGGAATGTGACTGATCCGGTATTGTATCGGGCTCCGATACCAGCATAATTTATGTATCGGATTTTTCCAATCCAACCTGCAGAGATTTCCGATCCATTATGCATGTTGGCTTCAAACCATGGAATGGATTTCCTGAACATAGGCATGTCTCATGAAACCCAGATTAATAAGACCGGCCTGACATTCACGGAATCCATTTCATAGTTTGCAGCCAGCTAAAACATGAGCAGTACTGTGGCTAACAGCTAACCAACTTTTCATTGAAACATGTCCGCTGTGTGGACGTATTTTACACTATAGAAACACCACAAAGCAAGACAGCAACGCGCAATGTCTGCAGAGCCATAGCACCACATTAAACCGCGGTAAAGTTAGTTTTACGTTGGACATTCGAGCTCCGTGGCTTCAGCGGGGCACTCCTCTCGCTCAACCCCAAGCAGGCAGCCCGACCCCGGCCAGCCGCGCCTAATTTGCCCCGCTCAGTCTGCCCGTCTCGGAGGAGGGGCAGACTGAGCACAGCTGATCCAAATCAGACCACCCGCCCCGGACTGAACGAGATGAACACACTGCCGAAGCCACGGAGCTCGAATGTTTACAGAGAAGTTGCTAAACTTCATCGTAATTAATAACCAAATCACTCTGTTGTAGAAAACGAAGGATTTCGCATATTGATTGAATACTTCATTTACCCTCAAGGAGTTATCAGTACAACAATGGACAATCTTAAAGAAGCATATGAATTGAAAATTACAAGAAAATTATATATAAAGAAAATGAAACAAAAACAACTACATCATAAAGCGATGTAAAATAGTAAAAACGGGAACATGCCTGTATGTTTATACCATGAACTTAGCAGATGTTTAAAGCCATTTAATTTTTTTTATTCATTTATTCATTCATTTAAAATAAACAAAATAAACAAAACAACTTCATCAAAAAGAGAAAAAAAAACATTGAATGAAAAGAGTGCAGAAAGAAGAAAAAAAAATTCTTACAATATCTGCCCCTTATTTAAAAAAGTATAAAATAACTTCAAACAAACAATCACTTAAATTAATCACTTTAATTTCCACTTTAAAGTTAGGAATAAAAAAAAAAACATGTTTAGTGTTAGCAGAATTTAATTCTAACTTTGAAACATCCAACATTAATAAAACTTACCTCAAGTTGCCTTTTTGGACATGCATGCATATATTTGTACAAATTGTACTTGAGAGGAGATTATTACAGCCTCATGTAAAATCTATAATGATGAAGATATCGGAAAAGTATTATCGGCCGATATCCAGATTTGGGTATCGGGATTGGATCTGAAGTATAAAAATGTGGATCGGTGCATCCCTATTTCCAGATAGTCCATTGTCCTGATAAGGTGATGGTCATTCGGCACTGATAAGCCTCCACAGAAGTTTGTGGGGGGAGGGTTGCAATAGACAAAGCTTTTCCTTAGTTCACACATTTCCCAGGAGAAATTAATATATCGGCCTATTTTTGAGGCCAACTGGGGGAGTTAGATTCAGATAAACCACAATTGTTGATTTTTTTTGGCAGACTATTTTTCTTGTCAGTCTTGAGTCTTACTGGTACTTTCAAGATCCGAAATGACCAGATTGGGGTGCATTCTACTGGTCTGTGCTTACGAGTCTCGCCAAGGTCGTTTCATGCTGGCGAGTCCTAATGCCGCAGGTAGCCTGCGATTCTCACAAACCACTTCCAGCTTATGGTTTAGCTTGAAAATCAGCTGATTTTGAGTCCTCAAAGCATGAACCAAACCTTCACAAAGGCAGCAGCCTGACCAGGCCAGATTAGATGCAGCCATCTTCTTTGTACGTTAATAAACCAGGAACCAGACAATTCCAAAAACAGGAAACCTGTTATCATAAATCCAATTACTGTATATGCAATTTCAGCATCCTCAATTGACAGCAGAGATAGACGCATCACATTCCACTTCCCCCAGAGACATATCCAGCTACATACATGTCATCCGGGCAGGCGTAATGGCTCTCCAGGACTCTGTAGCTTTCTTGAAAATATTTTGTCAATTGCGTCGTAAGTCCAGTTGGTCAGATCATAACAGTAGTTTTCATTTTGGAAGATGTGTAAAAATGGAGCTCCGATACACAGACAGAGAGCAAAAAGCAAGAGGAGAACAAGAGAGGGAAAAGAACGTGTGCGCCTCGTACCAGAGCAAGTGAGGGTGAATTTTTTTTTTGAGAAATGCACCTGCACTTTTGTTTTTGTGGTGGATTTTTTTGTTCTATATTTTGTGCAGACTTTTTCCATCTATATAACAGAAGGATAATTTTTATTTTTATACTTTGAGACTGAATACTTTATTAAATAAAGTAATTTCAGTAAAATTCACCCGTATTGTTTTTTTGTTTTTGTATAATACTGCAAAGCAACATGTTAAGTTAATTTTGTCAAATTAATAACATTGATTTCTGTTTATTTATTTATTTTTTGGGGGGGGGGGTTATATCACAAAATTTATCATTATCGTCAGAATGCTCTGAAATATCACAAAATTTTATTAGAGCCATATCGCCCACCCCTATCCTTACTGTTTCACTGGCCTCCCTCTCATTCACACATGTACTCTGTCTTACTATGGCTGACTTTCATTCCTCTTCTTTCAAGTGCATACCTCTACCTCTCTCCAAGTTCTCTTCCACGTTCCCTGTTCTTGCCACAGATCACGTCAACTACAAACATCATAGGTCACGGAAATTCCTGCCTGACCTCATCTGTTAGTCTGTCCATGAAGTCATGAAACTCTTAGCAATTGTTGTATTTTTAAATCTCAGTTTGTGCCTATCCCTTCCTGTTTTCAGAGCGTGTACAAGTGTGACTTCCTCAACCTGCAGCTCCAGCAGCCTCTCCAGCTGACAGGTAATGCAGTCGAGGCCTTTCTCCGCCACCTCCACAACCCAATCGACGCCCTGCCAGCCAAGCTATTCCACGTGGTAGTCTTCTCCTTGCTCCTCTCCTACTTCCCTTCACCATACCAGCGCTGGATTTGCTGCAAGAAAGCCCATGAGCTGCTGGAGCTGCACGGGCTGCTGCTCATCATCACGCCCGACTCGTCCCACCAGAACCGCCACGCCCTCATGATGCGAAGCTGGCGGGTGGCAGTGGAGTCATTGGGCTTCAAGCGCTACAAATACATTAAGTATTCTCACATGCACCTCATTGCCTTCCGTAAGGTGTCTCTGGCCACCATCAGCGACTTGGTGTCATGCAATTATCCTGAGATGCTCTACGTCCCTCAGGACTTCAACTTTAACGATGAGGAAGATTGCTCCGATGTGCCGGCTAAGGTGCGCTCTGAGTTTGAGGATGACCAACTGGCTTGGGGTTTTGCAGAGCTACCAGACACGCCGTATGATTCAGATTCAGGGGAGAGTCAGGGCAGCTCTGTTCCTGGCTTTCACGAGCTTGACGATTCCATTCTGCTTCAAAGCTAAACCAGCACCAAATCCCAGCATTTCTCCCCCTGACTGTCCCTTCTGCTGCTGTGCTGCCAAGTTCAAACCTGCTGCATTCTTCTCCTACCCCCACCCCTTTAAAAAACTGCAGTTTGCACAATGAAAGAGTTTACAGATTGTTTTCTCTTATTCACACTCCTTTGAGAGGACATGTGTACACAGGTCCGTCTTGTAAATGAGTCCTCATGGCTCATTGAGACTAGCCTGGATAATTAAAGGTTGAATGAAAAACAAACATACACTGACACCAAGATGGATATATTTTGATAGTTCTTTTGTTAAGTTGGAAATCAAATGCTTCTATGTATGCTATCTGGATTCCTTGATTCTTTTACTTTGTAAAAATAACCATATCCCAGTCAGCTTTTAATAAGTACAAGTTAGCGCGTTCTGTACTCGATCTGTGTTGGAATAAGGTAAGACTGTTCAGTACAAACGCCAAACACAGCAACTCCCAGCTGCTTGACGGAAATGTAATTGCACTGGAGATACCGAGGATGAATGAGTGAACTGGTACGCTTGCTTCTTTCAAGGTCATGCAGCTCTGAAAACTCCTAATGCGCACTTATTTTTCTCAGTGGAGGGGCGGGGGGATACTTATCAAATATATATATTCTTAGTCAAGCATCAATGTTGTCTAGTGTGAAGAGTAAATGATTTGTGCATCCTTTATGAGAATTTGTAGCATTGAAGATATTTTTTTGAATCAGACAGTGGAGGTTTTACTTCTACTGTGTGAAAATTTAACTAACTTGTTTAGCACGGTACGAGTGCAGAATAGTTATTACACTTTAGGATCAGGCGAATGAACAAATGCACTACATTGCCAGAAGTATTTGCTCACCCATCCAAATGATCAGAATCAGGAGTTCCAATCACTTCCATGGCCACAGGTGTATAAAATGAAGCACCTAGGCATGCAGACTGTTTTTACAAACATTTGTGAAAGAATTGGTCGCTCTCGGGAGCTCAGTGAACTCCAGCGTGGAACTGATAGGATGCCACCTCTGCAACAAATCCAGTCGTGAAATGTCCTCTTTCGTAAATATTCCACAGTCAACTGTCAGCTGTGTTATAAGAAAATGGAGGTGTTTGGGAATGACAGCAACTCTGTCACAAAGTGGTAGGCCACGTAAACTGATGGAGCGGGGTCAGTGGATGCTGAATTGCATAGTGCGACGAGGTCGCCAACTTTCTGCAGAGTCAATCACTACAGACCTCCAAACTTCATGTGGCCTTCAGATTATTTCAAGAACAGTGCTCAGAGAGCTTCATGGAATGGGTTTCCATGGTCGAGCAGCTACATCCAAACCATACATCACCAAGTGCAATGCAAAGCGTCGGATGCAGTGGTGTAAAGCACGCCACCACTGAACTCTAGAGCAGTGGAGGCGCATTCTCTGGAGTGACGAATCGTGCTTCTCCATCTGGCAATCTGATGGACGAGTCTGGGTTTGTAAAGTTTGGTGGAGGGGGGATTAAGGTGTGAGGCTGTTTTTCAGGAGCTTCCTCTTCCAACATGACTGTGCACCAGTGCAAAAAGCAAGGTCCATAAAGACATGGATGGCAGAGTCTGGTGTGGATGAACTTGACTAGCCTGCTCAGAGTCCTGACCTCAACCCGATAGAACACCTTTGCGATGAATTAGAGCGGAGACTGAGAACCAGGTCTTCTCGTCCAACATCAGTATGTGACCTCACAAATGCGCTTCTGGAAGAATGGTCAAAAATCCCCATCAACACACTCCTAAACCTTGTGGACAGCTTTCCCAGAAGAGTTGAAGCTGTTCTAGCTGCAAATGATGGACCAATGTCATCTTGAACCCTATGGATTAGGAATGGGATGTCACTTAAGCTCATATGCGAGTCAAGGCATGTGAGCGAATACTTTTGGCAATATAGTGTATATCAACTACCAGTGAATGGAGTTTATCAGGAGATGGATATATAGTACATATTTCTATGACAATTCTGTATTTTCTTTATTTTTAGACATTTCCAGCAAGCAAAGCCAATCAATGGTGCTTATTCACTTTTATTTTTGCATTAAGGTGTTTGTCCAAAATGATGACCCCACAACTAGTTAATATTCCTAACTGACTTGACACCTTTCTGCTTCCATGCACTCATGGTCTGAAGCACACCACAACTTGACAGTAAAGTTGTTTAAAGACATTTTTCCTGCAGGTTTCAGTTTTCAAAAAATATTGTGTAAAATATGTTATAAGTTGGCCCCCATCTCTGTTCCCAGCGTCTCCTAGGGCTCTTATTAGTAGTCCAGTGCTTGTTGAACACCTCTGGTGCATTTATTGTCCAAAGTTTTGAGTAACTTCTTGGTTTAAGAACAAAAGTAATCCTAATTTTAGTGGCTTTGTCTACTTTTTGACCACAAAAGACTACATCTGAAGTTGTGCAAGGCAAATATCTGGTGTGTCCTTCCTCAGTAAAACAAAAGCACACTTAAAACCACCTGCACCATATCACCAATTGTTGGTTGTTGAAACGACAGTGACCAATAAAAGTATTAGTCTATAGTCCTTTTTCACGCTTCTGGGTTTTAAAGCGGATGTGGTGTTCAACAACTTCCGGTGGCTGTAGTGTTAGCATTAGACAGTGAGGAAAATGGCTCAGTCTCGGCACGGATGCTTTTGTTCAGTTCCTGGTTGTTCTTGTGGGGCAAGAAAACAACCGTATCTGTCCTACCATGCTTTTCATGATGTACCCAGACCAAAGGAGGCAGTGGATCCAAGCGATCAGAAGATATGATGGTCACAACTTCTGCATAAAGCCAGGGAGCACTTGTTTGTAGCTGCATTTTACTCAGGAGGATTTTGTCCGTGGATCCACCACCAGCTGCTTTAAAGGTTGAGCTGTTTCTTTCTCATCACCTGGAATATTTTCACAGCACCAGCTAAGAGAGAGTCTGTTTTTAGAGAGCTCAGAAACAGCAGCTTGTCCTCTCACAGAAAGCCAGCCAGGCTGAAGCTGCTGCTGGAGTCCACGTGAAACTCACTTCACCTGGTGCCACATCCACCCACAGGTAAATATCACAGTAAGATGCTACATTATAAACTTGTCATGTCATGGAGACATCAAGTTACACTGACTCACTGAATGTATTGATCTTCACGGAAATAATGTCAACAATAATAATAATAATGCCAACAATAATAATAACAACAATAATAACAACAACAATAATGTCAACATTAATAATAATAATGCCAACAACAATAATAATGTCAACAACAATAATAACAA